GTGGTTTTATCATCTCTTGTGATCTCCTTTCCCCCGTCCTCGGACACCTCTACCACAGCATGAGGCGTTCAATGACTTGTGAATGAGAAAACTAAGTTGATATCCCCTGATGTGCAGCTTCAATGCAAGTGGATAAGGTTGTGCTGGAGTGAACTGTGACCCAAAACTGACCAAAAGAAATTATAAGGTAAACAAACACATACACACATGCACACATATTCCAACTGTCTTTTCTTTGTTCCCAAGCGTCATTTCACAAAACAGACCATGAACACTATAAAAGCTCACCCAATGGAGGGACTTCTTTCACTGTCACTGAGGGTGTATTCTGTTAATTATTTCCCTGAATTAATTTCCTTCATCCAGATGCTAAGGTATTTTTAAATACAAACTCTTTATACGAATCCCTCACATCCTCACAGAAAGATGCTCCACAGCTTCAAACTTGTTGTCCTCTCCCCCTAAAATACCTTATTCACAGAGATAGATTTTTAAGAGTTTCATTGCACATACAATCACTAATGGTGTCTAGGCCTTAAATCCCATGCTCTACAAACTGCACCTCTCATGGGCCCTGGCAATCGTGTTGTTTCGTATGATTCTACATGCCCCACTACCACCCCTGAGCCAATGGGAGACCATCAGACTTTCTCCCAGGAAATGAGAACAGGATTTAGACCGAGTCAAGTCTCTGTGATCTCCACCTGAGGCTAAGGCAGCCATCATGGGGCAGCACTCATGAGCTTTGTGCATGGAAAAACAGCAAAAGCTAGATGTAGCGGAGGGAGGGGAAGAAACAGCACAAGCAGAGGAGCAAGGATGGAGACCACAAATCTCCAGAGAAAGAACCGACATACCAGCTGGCCTGGATGCTAAGGACTTTCTGATTCCTGGTTCATGGCTCCAGTCTTCTGTTTAAATCCTGATTGCATTTCCTTCCTGCACTTGGGTCCTGAGAGATATTTTGATCTTCAAAGTACATAATCCCATTTTTTCTTAAAGTAGCTTACAACCATGATAAGCTCCAATGAGTAATGGATACTCCTGACATCACAGAAGAGCCGGCTACTACTGTTACTGCGCGACAGCAAAGGAACAAACGCATCACTTTGCAACACATTTTTTTTATTCATGACTTATTGCTGTTTCATCATTTCTCTGCATTGTTTCCAAGGGAGGATTGAGCTGTCTGTCCAGAATACAACCCCCATCATCCAGGGCTACTCCAGGCAGGACTCCTAACAACAAACCTTGTTAACAAATACTCATCCTATAAATAACAGTAGGAAAACATTAGCACAGAACTCCAATTTCTCCTTCACATGTACTTAGCTGACACCACTTCAGTGTTGGGGTTTTCTCTATCTTCTTTTTCAAGCTTGCAAATTAACTAGACGATCCTACAATTCAAAAGTACATGTGAATGGAAGCTATATGAGGATTATGCCTATTCCCCTTTGTGTCTCCAATCCCTGAACAGTACCCTACTGAGTGAACACTTGCTGAATAAAAGGATAAAAAGTAGGAACAAAACAGTCAAGAGCACAAACTCTGGAGTCACACAGATGTGGATTAAAATCCCACATCTCCCACTTACAGCCTTGTAACATTCATGAAGGCTCAGAATTCTGCTAAGAATGTTATGTCCATTATCTTACTTAATGATCCTTCTCCTAAAAAGCTTTAAGGTGTTATTATCCCTCACTTTACCCTTGGAGAAAACTGAGCAACTTAAGTCCACAAGGTTAGTAAACCTCTAACCCTATGATAAACTGCTTCTTACGCTGACTTTGTGACCCTGGACACGATTTAACCACAAGTTTGCTGAAGATTGTGGTTCTGAAGACTAAATCAGACAGCTAGTGTCTGTAAAGTTCTTAGCACAGTGCAAGACAGAGCAAACTGCTCAATAGAAAGTAATTATTATTATTATCATATTTATTAACCAATGAGTCTACAGTGAGATGCTTCAAGTAGAAGGATTTTTGGTTCTATAAATTACACGTTCTCTGGATAACAGCCATTTTCAAGATCTAGGCACCAAAGCAAAAGGAGCATATTATGACCAATATTTATCTTGGATATAGTCTAAATTCTCCAAAAAGCAGTGACAGATAAATCTTTTGATAGCCTGAAAGCAATGATCATGCTTGAAGTTAGGGGGCGCCATACTGCTGTACATCATAGGGAATCCCTTCCCCAGAGGGCCCTGAGCACCCCTGGATTTTTCTACAAGGAAAAGGAAGTAGATACATTCTAGCAGATAACAAATTTTTTGGCCAGGAGGGGGAATCCTTTAATATTTTGTTTCCATACTCCTCCCACAATCTCAATTTTTCAGTGTGTGTATATATATATATATATATTCCTATTTTATTTGCAGTCCTTTTGCTTTTGCTTCATTGAGATAAAGAGGATTATTACATTATTAAAAGACCTTTAAAAGTCCAGGAGGGAAAAAAAAGTACTTAAATTGGGATGAGTGAGTTAGTAAGCATGTCACCAAGAAATTTTAAGTACCTAAAAGACAGTTGGCCTAAAATAGAAGTATACGTTGGCAAATTGCTGAAAATGAGTGATGGGAGCTCATTAGTCTAGCCTCTCTACATTTACGTATGTCTGAAAATTTCCATAGTAAAAAGTTACAAATAAATTTTAAAAAGAAATGTACAGGTTCTGCCTTTAAATTTTTAGTTTTTAGTGAAAACCTATTAAGGATGCAGCAGGAAACTGGGTCTATGTATCACTGTTCTGGAAAGCAGTAGAGTCAGACACTCAGTTGAGGGAAGAGAAAAAGAAGTTTGTTAAATTAAGGTGAAACTAATATAAATCATATAAAAATGGATTCTCATTCTACCATGTTTTAGTAATGAACTTCAAAAAAAAAGACCCAAGTCCACAGACTAAGGAGACTTCTTTATACAAACAAATCAAACTTTTTAAATTTTTTACTGTAATAATCATTTGTTCAAGCCTGCTTTACAGTTGGCTCCAGTTGGCCAGGGAATAGTCCAATCGAGAGGTATTTTTCAAAAAGGAAGGAATGAAGAGCTTTGTACCAAAACAGCCAAAGAAAAGCTGGAAATCTAGGCAGATGTCTCTTCAGTGGACAGAAGATGAATTTTCTCTTTCAATTCATAGTCACCTTCTGAAAGGGTTAACTGAGAAGTTACTCATTCTACCCAGAGATAATCCAAAATTGAAGAATTAGACATCTTATTTTTCCCTTACCTAGATGGACACAGTGCTGTTCATCCACTTTGTCAGGTTAAATTCTAGCCCCACCACTGTCCCTTAAGTCAAAGCTAAACAAAAATAACTTAACTTTCAAATATGTTCGTGACCTCTTTCTACCCATTAACTCTGACCTCCCTCAGAACAAATTCTGTTCCTAGAATGCTGGGGGGGAAATTCCTAACCACCTGAGGTTTAAAGAAACTTTAATTAGCTGATAAGAAACCATCTGCTCTTTCATCCAGGTTTGGAGCTCCAGCACCTCTGCTCAGGGGCTAGCCCTTGCTCTCTCCCCATTGCCCCCCTGTCCCTGAGACAGGCAGAATGGATCAGCAAAAATCAAACCTCATTAAGACAAATGGCTTTCTAAACCACCACCAAAATGATGGAAGAAGAATAAACACTTTAACATCAATTTTCCAGACAGTCCAGGTAACTGAATTTTTCCAAATTAAAGTAAAATTTAGAAAGCAGCATTTTCGTAAGATTTACTTTTTTGTGCCCAATCAAAAGTATGCCTTCAAATAATCTGTTCATGTCCTGGCTTGAAAAGCATAAAGCCATCTATTTCTCCCCTAATCTGCTCATTCACTGCAACCCCTCCTTCATTTCTGAACATTTCTAGTCTTCACCACTTGCCCTTTTTTAAGAGGGTTCCTCTCAGCCTGAGACAACAATGTTAGGTTTTAACACAAGATCAATCTTAGAGAAATACTACATATATTGATGTAGAATGGTATATAGGTAAATGTCCCCTTCCCTTCTCATGCTAGCATGCTTTGCTTCACAGTATTAAAGTTTCCTACAGTTCTGTGTGCCCCTTGAGCAGTGCACAATACAAGAGGCACACTTCACTCAGAACTGCCACTGGAAAACTAGATGGATTATCATTTGTAGAAAAGACTGAGTAGCTAGACTACCCCAAAGTAATGAACATGCACCATCATGGCACTTACAGGTTCCGGTTTCTGCCAATCAATCTGTAAATGTTTCCAAGATAAATGACCACCCAGGGCGTCTCTTCTGGCTATGTGAACAAAAAACAGGGTTCCATTCCAGAGGTTCTTGACTACCTCCACCTCACTTAACTGGTTGTTCCGAGGGGATTTCCCCATCCACGGAGAGTCGGGCTCAGCACCAGGAGAAAATTTTCTGTCAAGTAGCTGATCATAATAGTGTCCCGGGGACCAGGAGCCAAGGGCAGCACTCAAGTGAAAAGAAGCTTTACTCTTTCACATGTCACACTCTTCCCACACCTGCCAAACTCAACAAACCAAATGCCACTTGGCAAAATGACACCTGGCTCCAGAATTCTGTAAGAGGGCTTTTGTAGGAATTCCCTCTGAATACAGTGAAGGGCAATATTAGGTGACTACGGAGACGTTTAAGACCATGAGTTCAAGTGTGTCTCGGATCATACACAATGTTCTAATAACCTGTCCCTCGTTTGGACCTTTCAGAATACCCATGTCTTAATCAAACCAAAAGGTACAGATTGTCGCCTTGTACCAACCACCATAGCCATTACTTCAAAATTAACAGGTCATTAAAATTATATACCTGAGTCCCTCAGCATGGTCTTTCGCTGGGAGGGGAGTGTTGATGGTGGTGAGGGAATGGTGGGAGAGAGGAACAGACTGACTTCTTGCATCTTAGATAAAAAGTAAAGTTTGCTAGCAGCCCTGCGAAGGCCACATACAACGGGCTCCGAGCGTTCCCGGTCCCCGCGGGTTGCAGCAGCGGCGGGGCGCCCGCGCGCGTCCTACCTTGGACCTTTCCTTGACGTAGTAATTGCCCAGCCGGCTCCCGCAGTACAGGACCAGCCTGTCGATGAGGGACAGGAGGAAGCTGATGGCCTCGCAGCCCTCCTCGTTGCCCCCAATCCACGTGATCTGGTCGCCCCGCAGGTGCCGCTTGGAGACGCCCGCGCGTGGCCCGGCCAGCTGGCCATCCCGCAGGGCCCCGGTGCAGTGCAGCTGCTTGACGCGCTCCAGGACGCAGTCGCCCACCACCTCGCCCAGGAAGTTGTCCAGGTAGCAGAAGCCGACCTCGTGCAGGCAGGGCACGATGTACTCCAGGGCAATTTTCTCCAGATCCAGCCTCATGATGTGTCCCAGGGGCATCTCGCCCGCAGCGCCGAGCCCGGAGACCCCCAGCGTGCACCTGGAGGGGGAGCGGCGACCTACGTGCGCACGCAGTCGAGGAGCGGGGAGTGGGGCCCCCAGAGTTTAGCTACCTGAGGCGCCCACAGTCCCCGAGCCACCACAGCGCCAGGGAGAGGGGAAAGTTGCTCGCAACTCCGGGGAGGAGGGATCCCGTTCAGGGACCGGCGAGAGCCGTGTGGGGCTCCACGACCCGGCGCCGGACTGGCCCAGCGAGGAGTCGGAGAGCCCCTTTTGGAGAGCGGAGCCACGACCGGTGCGGCGGTTGCCCCCGGCCGGGAGAGGCGGACGTCCAGCCCCCAACCGGCCGACTCGGCGCGTCACGGGCCCCGCCCAGGGCCCGCCTCCGTGACAGCCCTTCCCGGGCCCGGCGCGCACTCCCACACTACGAATCGGCGAAGGAGCCCGGGAGCAGCCGCCCACCTCGGCTGTTTGCGACTAGGGGCGCGCGCCGCTGGAGAACAGACGGAGTGTTTAGAACGCTATCGATTTGCATACGTTTTGCGTAAAATGCCACAACAAACTGGAAAAGCTGGATCCCAATTCTGAAAATATAAATGGCTTTAACAGCGCGGTTTACTGCCACATTCTGGGCTGGTCACCTCACAGTCTTTTGAAAATCATAAACCCAGGAACAAATGTTATATATATGCCCTGTATACAGGGCAGGAGGACTGGGAGGAGCAAATACTTCCCTGAGCCCTACTATGTGACTCTGTGCAAGGCCCAGTGGGCGGAAGGGGCGGAGCGGCGCACAATGAAGTGATGCTGCATATTTGACTGAACCCTAGTTGCTTTGCTGGATGTTTTCATCCACTTAAGTTTCAAGCTTCTTACTAAAATACTATGTTCTGAAAGTCTGCCTTCAAAATTAATCACATTCTGTGTTACAACCAGCACAGCTATGTTTCCCGAAAGACTTTTCTTCTCGATTTTCCCACAAGAAGCTGCACTTGCAGGGTGGGAGGGACACCATCCAGAAGCTATTTCAGTTACCCAAAGATAAGCTGACTGCTTTATGGATTTTTGTCCCCATTTTTACTAAACACCAGAGATCAGAATCAGCGGGGAAAGATTCACAAATTACAGGCAGTCATTTCTATATTTGTAATTTTACATTAGTTTGCACTCAGGTTCTTCATTTAATTTGAACAAAAGAATATGTGGGTTTTACAAGCACTGCTTATTTTGTACACAATCCTTTACTCCTTCTAATAGCCCTCTCTTCTCTGCATCTGAGCAGAGAAATATGAAAGGAGAAATGGAAGGAAGGCCAGTCCAAGAACAGTCCAATAAAAAAGGGACATTGCTGCTGCCTAATGGCAAGAAGCAGACGGAGGCAGGTAGATGAGGAAGAACCTGAGGAATATTCAAGAGGAGTGGTCAGTAAGAAACTTCGGTGAACTTCTAGTTACATTGGGAGGAGGCTCTCTGCCAGGACAGTAATTCACTGGCACTGTTGGTATGACCTCTCAGCAGGAGGCACACCAACAAGTACAGGATTCACTTGGCCAGCCTCAAGGAGCCCTCGTCTAAATTCCCACAGCAGCTCCAGGATGAGAGGCCCACCATCCTCGGACCACCAGCACCCAGCACCTAGTAGGTGCCCAGTAAATAGTTACTGGGAACCTGGCATCTGACCCTGAGCCATGGCAACCTCCACATGGGATTCGGGTATGTCTGGGCTTGCCTGGAGGCCTGCATGATCTATTTGCATAAAGGTCTGGGGAAGCCCCTGGAAGGGAATCTACTTGAAGACAGTGTCAATCAAATCGGCCTGGCCCAGAACAAACCTCAGAGGCCAGTAAAGGGGGCAGTTAGGTGTTTTGTAGGGTATTTGTCTCCACTTTGTCTCCCTATCCAGCCAGGGTGGATGTTTAGTTTCTAGGAGGAAGAGGCTTAAAATGAAAGCTGGAGAACTACCCATTTGTGCCGAGGAGTGAAATGGAGAGGCAATACCAAAAGGGAGGAAGGCCCTCCTCCCACTTCTGCCTGAACCCCCACAGCCAGGAACAGCTTTGGTGCACCCAGTGATCTCCAGGGACATTATGGATAATGGAGTGGCCAGGAGAAATATGGTCTGAAATGTGGTCTGAGGTGACCTGAATATGGGTCCCATTAGGGTATGGCTTGTAGATTTTGCAGCTTTGGGGTCTGCTTAGAGCTCAGAAGTAGATGTTGCTGAATGAAGAAAAGGAAAAATGACAGATAATCCTTGGTAGCTGGCTGGGATTTTCCTAGCTGAAGGTTCTTTGTAGATAGACCTCATGCGCCTAGGAATAAATTGGAGGGAATTTACAAAGAACTAGAAATCTGCAGTAGCAGGTGGAGGAAGTAGTGGTCAGCACATACAGAAAATTACAACCCATCTTCCAGAATGAACATGTTGACCCAGGACTTTAAATCCCAGGACTAAATAAATTTAACTTACTATTCAAATAATATTTCAATAATTAAAAGTTGTAACTAGTCTTGCTGTAATAGGTCAATAGTGTATAAGCAAGTTTAGTGACTAATAGCTTTAAGGTGTTCTAGATTATTTTGGTAGCAAAGAAACCTACTTTGGTGGGCAGTTTAGAAGGGTATTCAGTCCCTTGCCAACATCTCTGCTTGGCAAGGGCATGTATTAATCAATCAAGGGCCTCCCAATCGACCAGGAGCTGCCAGCACTGCACTTGGCAGGGAAGCCCAAGATACCGTGACTGGCAAGAAGTAGTGTGTGATTACACAGAGGGGCACAGTCCGCAGCCACACACAAGGTTTTTGAGTCTGAACGTCAGAGTAGCAAACCCCCAGCTAATTGTTAAAGTGCATTCGTTTTAGTTATTTGTCCATTAACCTGTACCATTATAATAATGAATATTAAAATACTTTTCATATTATAAACTAAAACAAGTTAATTTTCCTGTAATTTAATTACAACATTCTCTTCCAGTGTACATCTGCAGGACAGATGCAGTCATTTTTAAGCATGTGGATGACACAGAGCAAAAGAAGGATGTTGAGTTTCTTTGCCTTGAGATTCGATCTGAAAGGGATCCTGGTGGTCATCCTAGTCCAATTTCATTTTCCTACAGATGAGGAAACCAAGGCCCAGCAGGCCTGGACATTAGGTAACTTTCCTAAGTACAAGGTCTTTGGGGAGTGGGAGAGGAAGCCTGGATGGCCTCTGTCTTCTCAACTAGACAAAGAGAGCCCTTACTCTCATAAAAAAAAGTGTACACTATTTTTAATGAGGTAAAATTGACAAAACATAAAATTAACCTTTTAAAGTGAACAATTCAGTGGCATTTAGTACTTTCAAAATGTTGTACAACCGTAACCTCTCTTTAGTTCCAGCAACGTTTTCACCACTGCAAATGAAAAAACCTGTGCCCATTTAGCAGTTACTCCCCAATTCTCACCTACCCCAAACTCCTGACAATCACCCATCTGTTTTCAATCTCTATGGATTACCTATTCGGGGATATTCCCTGTAAGTAGAATCATAGAATATGTGACCTTTTATGACTGGCGTCTTTCACTTGGCATAATATTTTCCAGGTTCATCCATGTTGTAGCACATTCAGCACTTTGTTCCTTTTTATTGCTGAATAATATTCCATTGTATGGATATACCACATTTGTTTATCCCATCATAAACTGATGGACATTTGGGTTGTTTCCTCCTTTTGCTTATTGTGAACAGTGCTGTTATGAGCATGTGTGTTAAATGTTTGAGTACCTGCTGTCAATTCTTTGGGGTATATACCTAGGAGTGGAATTGCTGAGTCATATATAATTCCGTTTAACTTTGAGAAATCACCAAACTGTTTTCCATAGCAGCTGCATCATTTTACATTCCCACCAATAATATGGAAGGGTTCCATCACATCCTTTTAATTTCTGATGAAAACGATCTACATTTCTTCTAACCCTTTAATGTCCTGCCATGCCTGAGGTGCCCTCCCCCCTAGTTTGTACCTGAATATTCTTTTTTGTGTTTTTGCCATGCCCTATTATGAAGAGGTTGGTCATTACATTAATACTGAATGACTTTAATGTGGGCAAGGGCTATCTTACTTATTTATCAAACACTATTGTAACATTTACGACATTCCAGGCACTTTGCTAACAGGGTTGCAAACAATAATTCTTGTAACACCATCAAGAAATAGGTAGTATTATTACTCCCCCTTGTGAAGATCATAAAAATGAGGCAGCAGGAGGCTCAGGAACTTGTCCAAGATCACACTGAGAGAGTATAACAACACAACAAAATCTAAGAAAATTCAATGTAAGTTCAGGGTAAAAAAATCATTTTGAGCCACTTGCTTGGCATAGCAATGTCTTTGCCCTTAAAAGCTCTTTTTTGTTGTTGTTACAACTCTGAATTATAACACTCTCACCTTCAAAGACAATTTTAATTACTGGTTTTCTTACTGACAGAAGGGAGACAAGCAAAACTTACCATAAGTTATTTAGTTGACTACTTTTAAAGTAAATTTCCAAACTAATTAGAATTTGCTCCTTGCTCTATTCCAATTATGGCCCAGCATTTCTAGGAATCCCACATAAATCCTGTGATTGTGAGCAGTCATTGGTAATGAGTCACACCTCAGTCCACTGGGGTGCACAGCTCACCCCTCAGGACACAGGAAGTGCATTTAATTTAAATGGAGCTGGTGAAACAAGAGGAGAGTGCCTGAAGGGAATTTATGCTTGAGCTCACTGCTATGAATTGAGTTTAAAGAAAGATACATCTGATTATGTTTCATTCCCTATAAAGTCCAGCCATCCAACTACTTCCCAGGTCTAAGAAGATGGCAAAAAAAGTGACTTTCTATATCAGTTCTTAATTATTTCTAAGCATATGGACAAGCTTAAACCTTTCATTTACTCTTTGATAATTCTGGCCATATGCAGTGTCTTGCCAATGAGTTTCAGCACCGGACAAGTTCACTATGGATTTAATGAGACCAAAGAAATGACAGTGGAACATTCTTGGGGTGAAAGGGTTTATACCTAACTTTATTCCCATGGTGGCAGGTCAGTCACTAGAATCCTGTCCACTCAGAGCGAGTCTGCATGCAGCAAGCTGGTCTCTGCCTCTGGGCCTCTCCGCCCTCACAGCCACCTCAGTCTCTGTCCTTGGAGCTGCCACCACTCCAGCCTCTGCTCTCCTGCAACCCTGCAGCCATGCAGCAGCCCAGAGCACTGGGTGGATCTCTTTATGTAGGGTCAGTAACAATGTATTGCCCACATGTGTGTAGTGAGCAGGTGAGAATCCTGGCCATAAGAATCTTCACTTTATCCACATGCAGATTCTGG